TCCAAACATTCACCCAAATCCACACACAGATCAACCCCGAATTCACACCTTCACCCCAAATCACCCCCAACACCCAATCACCCCCAATCCACACCAATTCACCCCCAATCCACCCCAAAATCACCCAATCCCCAATTCACCAAATTCACCCCAAATCACCCAATAACCCCAATCCCCCAAATTCCACAATCACCACAAATCACCCCAAATTCACACAAATCACCCCAATCACCCCAATCACCCCATACCCCCATCACCACACCCCAATCACCCACACCAAACCCATCACACACCACACCACAAATCACACCAAATTCACCCCAAATCCACCCCCCAAATCACACCCCCAAATCACCCCCAAATCACCACACCCCACATCACCCAAACCCCCACACACCCCCAAATCCACCCCAATCACCACAATCACCCCAAATCACCCAAATCACCCCAAATCACCCAAATTCACCCACCCCAAATCACCCCAAATTCACACAAATTCACCCAAATTCACCCCAATTCACCCAAATTCACCCAAATCAGGGCGGGTTTGGGGCTCACTTGAGGTCTGAGAGCTCCCGGATCAGCCCCCGGATGACGTCGGTGGCGTCGATGGTTCCGCGGCATTGGAGCTGCTGAGAGAAAGACAAAACCCCCAAAAAACCCCAAAATAACCCCAAAATTAATCCCAAAAAACCCAAACTGGGGTTTCTACACTCTTCAAATGTGGGATTTGGGTTAAAAGTCGGGGTTTTGGGGCCGTCTGGGCTCACCCACCTGTGCCAGGGGTTCTTTGCTGAGGGTCCGGGCTGGGTCTGGCCTGGGCTGGGCCAGGGCTGGGGGAGAGAGAGGAAATGGGGAGGGGTCCCAGTTTGGGATGGGGAGGGTCCAGTTTGGGATTGGGGAGGGGTCCCAGTTTGGAATTGGGGAGGGGTCCCAGTTTGGGTGGGGAGGGGTCCCAGTTTGGAATTGGGGAGGGTCCCAGTTTGGGATGGGGAGGGGTCCCAGTTTGGACATGGGGAGGGGTCCAGTTTGGGTGGGGAGGGGTCTCTGGGTCCCAGTTTGGAAGGGGAGGGTCCCAGTTTGGATGGGGAGGGGTCCCAGTTTGGGTGGGGAGGGGTCCCAGTTTGGGATTGGGGAGGGGTCCCAGTTTGGATAGGGAGGGTCCCAGTTTGGATGGGGAGGGTCCAGTTTGGATGGGGAGGGGTCCCAGTTTGGATGGGGAGGGTCCCAGTTTGGGATTGGGGAGGGGTCCCAGTTTGGGTGGGGAGGGGTCTCTGGGTCCCAGTTTGGATGGGGAGGGTCCCAGTTTGGGATTGGGGAGGGTCCCAGTTTGGATAGGGAGGGTCCCAGTTTGGGTGGGGAGGGTCCCAGTTTGGAATGGGGAGGGGTCCCAGTTTGGATGGGGAGGGGTCCCAGTTTGGATAGGGAGGGTCCCAGTTTGGGATTGGGGAGGGGTCCCAGTTTGGGTGGGGAGGGGTCCCAGTTTGGATGGGGAGGGGTCCCAGTTTGGAATTGGGGAGGGTCCCAGTATGGGTGGGGAGGGGTCTCTGGGTCCCAGTTTGGAATTGGGGAGGGGTCCCCAGTTTGGATGGGGAGGGGTCTCTGGGTCCCAGTTTGGATGGGGAGGGTCCCAGTTTGGATGGGGAGGGGTCTCTGGGTCCCAGTTTGGAATTGGGGAGGGGTCCCAGTTTGGAATTGGGGAGGGGTCCCAGTTTGGATAGGGAGGGGTCCCAGTTTGGGTGGGGAGGGGTCCCAGTTTGGGATGGGGAGGGGTCTCTGGGTCCCAGTTTGGATAGGGAGGGTCCCAGTTTGGGATGGGGAGGGGTCCCAGTTTGGATAGGGAGGGTCCCAGTTTGGAATTGGGGAGGGGACTCTGGATCCCAGTTTAGGATGGGGAGGGTCCCAGTTTGGGATGGGGAGGGGGTCCCAGTTTGGGTGGGGAGGGGTCCCAGTTTGGGGATGGGGAGGGGTCTCTGGGTCCCAGTTTGGATGGGGAGGGTCCCAGTTTGGGATTGGGGAGGGGTCCCAGTTTGGGATGGGGAGGGGTCCCAGTTTGGGATTGGGGAGGGTCCCAGTTTGGGATTGGGGAGGGTCCCAGTTTGGATGGGGAGGGTCCCAGTTTGGGTGGGGAGGGTCCCAGTTTGGAATTGGGGAGGGGTCTCTGGATCCCAGTTTAGGATGGGGAGGGGTCCCAGTTTGGGATTGGGGAGGGGTCCCAGTTTGGATAGGGAGGGTCCCAGTTTGGATGGGGAGGGTCCCAGTTGGGATGGGGAGGGGTCCCAGTTTGGAATTGGGGAGGGGTCCCAGTTTGGGATGGGGAGGGGTCCAGTTTGGGATGGGGAGGGTCCCAGTTTGGAATTGGGGAGGGGTCCCAGTTTGGGTGGGGAGGGTCCCAGTTTGGGATTGGGGAGGGGTCCCAGTTTGGGATGGGGAGGGGTCCCAGTTTGGAATTGGGGAGGGGTCCCAGTTTGGGATGGGGAGGGGTCTCTGGATCCCAGTTTAGGATGGGGAGGGGGTCCCAGTTTGGGATTGGGGAGGGGTCCCAGTTTGGATGGGGAGGGGTCCCAGTTTGGGATTGGGGAGGGTCCCAGTTTGGATGGGGAGGGTCCCAGTTTGGGATGGGGAGGGGTCCAGTTTGGAATTGGGAGGGGTCCCAGTTTGGGATGGGGAGGGGTCCCAGTTTGGAATTGGGGAGGGGTCCAGTTTGGGATGGGGAGGGGTCTCTGGATCCCAGTTTAGGATGGGGAGGGGTCCCAGTTTGGATGGGGAGGGGTCCCAGTTTGCCCCCCCCCAGCTGTACCTTCTCCCCCGGTGCTGCTGATTCCGGCTCCTTCTGCCCCAAAATTCCCAGTTTGGGAACTTCCCAGTTTGGCTCCGGCTGCTCCTCTCCCGTTCCATCCAAAATTCCCATTTTTGGTGTTTCCACCTGCTCCTCTCCGTTCCATCCAAATTCCCATTTTGGTGTTTCCATCTGCTCCTCTCCCGTTCCATCCAAAATTCCCATTTTTGGTGTTTCCATCTGCTCCTCTCCCGTTCCATCCAAAATTCCATTTTTGGTGTTTCCATCTGCTCTTCTGCTCCATCCAAAATTCCCATTTTTGGTGTTTCCATCTGCTCCTCTCCTGCTCCATCCACCTCCAAATTTCTGTTTTCGGTAATTCCAGTGGATCTTCTCCCGTTCCACCCAAAATCCCATTTTTGGTGTTTCCATCTGCTCCTCTGTTCCATTTCCCTTTGGAATTCCTGGTTTTGGTGATTCCTATCTGTTCCATCAAAATTCCCATTTTTGGTAATTCCATCTGCTCCTCTCCTGCCCCATTTCCCTCTGGAATTCCTGGTTTTGGTGTTTCCTGCTCATTCTCTTCTGTTTCATCCAAAATTCCCAGTTTGGGAATTTCCCAGTTGGCTCCATCTGCTCCTCTCCTGCCCCATCCACCTCCAGAATTCCTGGTTTGGTAATTCCAGTGGATCTCTCCTGTTCCATCCAAATTCCCATTTTTGTGTTTCGTCTGCTCTTCTCCTGTTCCATCCATCTCCAAAATTCCCATTTTCGGTGGCTCCATCTGTTCCTCCCTTGCTCCATCCACCTCCACAATTCTGCTTTTGGTGTCTCCAGCTGCTCCTCTCCTGTTCACCCAAAATCCCATTTTTGGTGTTTCCATCTGCTCTTCTGCTGCTCCATCCACCTCCAAAATTCCCATTTTGGTGATTCCAGCTCATCCTTTCTTTTTCCATCCAAAGTTCCCATTTTTGGTGTTTCCAGCTGCTCCTCTGCCCCATCCATCTCCACAATTCCTGGTTTTGGTGTTTCCAGCTGCTCCTCTCCTGCTCCACCCAAATCCCCATTTTTGGGATTTCCCAGTTTGGCTCTGGCTGCTGCTCTCTTCCTCATCCACCTCCAAAATTCCCATTTTCAATGGCTCCATCTGTTCTTCTCCTGCCTCATCCACCTCCAGAATTCCTGGTATGGTGATTCCAAAGCTCCGCACCTTTTCCACCCAAATTCCCATTTTCAGTGGCTCCATCTGCCTTCTCCTGCCCCATCCACCTCCAAACCTGCCGTTTATGGCGATTCCCACAATTTTCACTGCCCCATCCGAAATTCCTGCTTTTGGTGACTCCAACCCATCCTTTCCTGCCCTATCCGCTTCCAAATTCCCACCTGGGGCAATTCCAGACGATTCCTTTTCCACCCCATGGGAATTGTTCTGGTTCGGTGATCCCAGTGCTTTGCCATCTCCAATTTCCTCATCTCTCCCTTCCTGATAAATCACTTAAAAACCCCAATTTGGGGAGTTTTTTCCACTTTTGGGATTTTGGGATCCATCCCAGCAGGATCTCCATGGGGTTCAGCTCCTGGGGCTTCCTGAAGGATCCTCGCTTTGGGAGCGTGGAAATTCCTGTCGCCTGTTGTGTGTGAGGGAAAAAGGAAAATTTTTATGAAGGAAAGGAAAAAAGGAAATCAGTTTGGGTCCAGTTGGGTACTCCAGAGGGGAAAATGTCCCCACTTGGGTCATTCTGGGCCCAAATTGGGATATTTGGGGTTTTATTTTACCTGGGGTTGGGTGCGTCCTGCGTTTCCCCATCCTGCGCTATCTAAGAAGGACAAACAACCCAAATTACCCCAAATTATCCCAAATTACCCCAAATTACCTCAGCTCTCCATTTCACACCACCCCAGTTCCCCTCAGGCCCCGGCAGCCATGCTCCCCTCACAACCCTCAACGCCCTCAGAGCCCAAATAAATACAATAAAACATCCCTCGGCTCCTCTAAAGCACAACCGCAGGATAAACCCCTAAACCCTCTGGGTTTTAGGTGAAAATCGTGGAATTTTCAACCCATTTTCCACCTCTGGGCATTCCGCCCACGGCCTCCCCTCACGTTTTTCCCGCCTTTTTCCCGCCGGCCGCGGGGCACGCTGGGAGTTGTAGTTCGCAGGCGCCGCAAAGCAGCAGAGCGGCGTTTACGACAGCGGCGCTTTTGCGACGGCGCTGCCGTAAAGCGCGGGGTGTTGACAGCGGCCGGCGGAGCAGGAAGTGAGTGAGGATAAACCGGGATAAAACCGGGAAAAACCGGGATAGAACGGATAAAACCGGGATAAACCGCAGCACCGGGGTTGGGGGGTGAGGTCTGCGGGACGGCTGAGGGGTGACAGCGCCTTGTGGGGCGCTCTGAGAGGCGGCAAAGCCGCGGCGGGGCCTTGTGAGGGGCGGGGGGGCGCCGGGGAGTTTCGGGGGGCTCTGAGGGGGGATTTGGGGGGTTTAAATCAGAGCGGGGGTCTCTGCTCGCCCTCCCCAGCTCGGCCCGGCGGGACGCGGAGCCATGAGCAGAGCCGGGAGGGTCCCGGGCCGGGGGGCGGCCATGGCCAGGCAGGTGCGTGCGACCCCCGGGACCCCCAAAATGGCGGCTGGGGGGGTCCCTGAGTCCCCTCAGCACTTTGGGGGGGTCCCTGATCCCTGAATCTCCTCCTGGGGGTCCCTGGGGGTCCCTAAATCCCTGAATCCCCTCCTGGGATGGGTCCCTGATCCCTGAATCCCCTCCTGGGAGTCCCTGGGGTCCCTGAATCCCTTCCCGGGGTGTCCCCAAGACCCTCAATCCCCTCCTGAGGGTCCCCAAATCCTCTCCCGGGGGTCCCCGAGTCCCCAAATTCCCTCCTGCGAGTCCCTGAATCCCTCCTGGGGGTCCCTGGGGGGTCCCCAAATCCCTTTTTGGGGTCCCTGAATCAGCTCCTGGGGGTCACCAAATACCTGAATCCATCCTGGGGGTCCCCAAGTCCCTCCTGGGGGTCCCTAAATCTCCAAATCCCCGTTCTGGGGGTCCTTGAACCCCTCGTGCTGTCGCCCCCTCCCCAGCTGGGGCTGCTGGCGGCTCCGGTGCGGACGGGAACCGGAACCGGAACCGGAGCGGGAGCGGGAGCGGGAACGGGAACGGGAGCGGGAGCGGGGCCGGGGAGGCGGCGCTGGAGGCGGAGCTGCTGCGGCTGCTGCGGGGCCGGGACGGAGCGGAGAGCGGGCAGCGACCCCCGCGGGCAGGTAAATACCCCCGGAGTTACCCCAGACTGGGGCTGGGACCCCCGAAATTGGGGTTGACCCCCAAAATTGGGGCTGGGGACCCCCCCAGACAGGTAAATACCCCCGGAGTTACCCCAGATTGGGGCTGGGACCCCCAAAATTGAGTTTGTGACCCCCAAAGTTGGGTCTGGGACCCCCCCCCGACAGGTAAATGCCCCCGGAGTTACCCCAAATTGGGGCTGGGGACCCCCGAAATTGGGGCTGGGACCCCCCCGACAGGTAAATACCCCCGGAGTTACCCCAAAATTGGGGCTGGGACCCCCGAAATTGGGGCTGGGACCCCCCCCGGACAGGTAAATGCCCCCGGAGTTACCCCAGATTGGGGCTGGGACCTCCGAAATTGGGGTTGTGACCCCAAAATTGGGGCTGGGACCCCCAAAATGGTGCTGTGACCACCCCAACCCCCAGACAGGTAAATGCCCCGAAATTACCCCAAAATGTGGGTTGGGACGCCCCCAGACAGGTAAATCCTCCCAGAAATTGAGGTTTGACCCCCCCAGGGAGTAAATCCCCACGATCACCCCAAAATTGAGTTGTGACCCCCAAAATTGGGTTAGGACCCTGCCAGACTGTAAATCCCCCTGAAATTACCCAGTTTGGGTTGAGACCCCAAATTGGGTTTGGGACCACTCTGTTCCCCACAGTGCGGTAAATCCCCCATCCCCTCCCCCTTGAAATTAGGAAATTTAGGGGTCAAAGCCCCCAAATTTGGGATTTTGTGCCCCCCCAGATTTGATCCCCAATTGCCCCCCATTTTTGGGGTCAAACCCCCCCAAAATTGGGATTTTTGTGCCCCCAGATGTGGGGGCCGCGCAGGCCCTGGCCCAGCTGTGCCTGCGGGACCCCCCGAGGAGGAGGAGGAGGAAGGGGAGGAAGATCTGAGAACGAGGAGGAGCTGCTGGTGAGGGGGGGGGGGCTGGGCCTGGGATTTGGGGATTTTCTGGAATTCTGGGATTTTCTGGGTATTGGGATTCCTGGATTTTGGGGGTCCCTGGATTTTAGGGATCCCTGGATTTGGGATTCCCTGGGTATTGGGATTCCTGGATTTTGGGGGTCCCTGGATTTTAGGGATCCCTGGATTTGGGGATTCCCTGGGTTTTGGGATTCCTGGGTTTGGGATCTCTGAATTTGGGGATTCCCTGGATTTGGGGATTCCCTGGATTTTGGGATCTCTGAATTTGGGGATTCCCTGGATTTTGGGATTCCCTGGATTTTGGGATCTCTGAATTTGGGGATTCCCTGGATTTTGGGATTCCTGGATTTTGGATTTCTGGATTTTGGGATCATTGGGTTTTGGGATTTCTGGAATTTGGGATTCCCTGGATTTTGGGGTCTCTGGATTTTGGGATTTCCTGGATTTTGGGATTTCCTGGATTTTGGGATCTCTGAATTTGGGATTTCCTGGATTTGGGATTTCTGGATTTTGGGATCATTGGGTTTTGGGATTTCTGGAATTTGGGATTTCCTGGATTTTGGGATCATTGGGTTTTGGGATTTCTGGAATTGGGATTCCCTGGATTTTTTGGGATTCCTGAATTTCGGATCCCTGGATTTGGATTTCCTGGATTTTGGATTTCCTGGATTTTGGGATCTCTGAATTGGGATCCCTGGATTTGGGATTTCTGGATTTTGGGATCATTGGGATTTGGGATTTCTGGAATTGGGATTTCTGGACTTTGGGATCATTGGGTTTTGGGATTTCTGGAATTTGGGATTCCCCGGGGATCCCTGGATATGGGGTCCCTGGATTTTGGGGAACCTGATTTGGGGATTTTGGGGATTTGGGGATTTGGGGATTTTGGGGCTCCCAGGCTGATCCCGGATCCCTGAGCCGGGATTTTGGGATTCCTGGATTTTGGGATTCCTGGATTTTGGGATATCTGGATTTTGGGGATCCATGGATTTGGGGATTTTGGGACCCCAGGCTGATTCTGGGATCCCTGAGCCTGGATTTTGGGGATCCCTGGATTTGGGACCCCTGGATTTGGGGATTTTGTGGATCCCAGGCTGATCCCGGTCCCTGAGCCTGGGTTTTGGGATTCCGGGATTTGGGATCTCTGGATTTTGGGGATCCCTGGATTTTGGGGGTTTGGGATTTTGGGGGTTTGGGATTTTGGGCCCCCAGGCTGATCGCGGTCCCCGTGCAGGCAGAGCTGCAGGAGGTGCTGCAGGAGGGGCCCGGGAGCGCCGAGAGCACGAGAGCGCCCAGAGCGCCCAGGTACGGCCGGGAGAGCCCGGGGGCAGCCCCAGCCCCGTCCCGGTCCCGGTCCCGATCCCGGTCCCGATCCTGGTCCCGGTCCTGGTCCTGGTCCCGAAACTGGTCCTGGTCCTGGTCCTGGTCCTGGTCCTGATCCTGGTCTGGTCCTGGTCCTGGTCCTGGTCCTGATCCCGAAACTGGTCCTGGTCCTGGTCCCGGTCCCGGTCCTGGTCCTGGTCCCGGTCCGATCCGGTCCCGATCCTGGTCCCGGTCCTGGTCCTGGTCCGGTCTGGTCCTGGTCCTGATCCTGGTCCTGGTCCTGGTCCGGTCCCGGTCCTGGTCCTGATCCTGATCCTGGTCCTGGTCCTGGTCCTGATCCTGGTCCTGGTCCTGGTCCTGGTCCCGGTCCCGGTCCTGGTCCTGATCCTGATCCTGGTCCTGGTCCTGATCCTGATCCTGGTCCCGGTCCAGATCCTGGTCCTGGTCCCGGTCCTGATCCTGATCCTGGTCCAAATCCTGATCCCGATCCTGATCCTGGTCCTGGTCCTGATCCCGAAACTGGTCCTGGTCCTGGTCCCGATCCAATCCTGATCCTGAACCTGATCCCGATCCTGGTCCTGGTCCTGATCCGATCCTGATCCCGATCCTGATCCTGATCCTGATCCTGATCCCAGTCCTGATCCCATCCCAGTTTTTAACCCGATCCTAATACCTGAATCTCAATCCCCAAGGTTGATCCCAATCCCCAATCCTGATCCCAATCACAGTTCTG